TAAAGTTGTTCTACATATGAACTGGAGAATACATGATAGAAACAATCCTAATAAGTGAGGTATGGAAAAGATGCCTTAGACTTTTCCATTTCTCATTACTGTGACAGAGTGAGATACAGCTGTGAACATAACTGTTTAATGTAACACATTTGAAGATCCTAATCAGTCATTCCATATGTGTTCTTGGTTTGCCTCTAAGAGATGACAGTAGAAGTCTGGGATGCAAGATCTGTAATCATATTACTACCATTCCTTTAACAGAAAAATTAAACAACTTGTTTACTTAAATAATGATTTAACTAGTTTAGAGACAGCCATGCTATTTTTGAAGGAGAAGTTACGCAAGTTGAACGTAGTAAAGTAAATACTACAAATGAGCTTAAACAAATAAAATATGCAATCAAATCAACCTTGGAAATCAACCTGTGTCAATCTGATGGACAGAGAACTGGGCTCTTCTCCATGGTGCCCAGTGTAAGCACAAAAGGCAATGGCCACAAACTGAAATACAGGGAATTCTGTTTAAATGTAAGAGAAATCTTGCATTAAAAAAGCACCAGTTTGCCCTGCTCACCTCATTTGGTGCAACAGGAGTGGGCTGCTATTGGGGAGGTCACTAGCATCTGGCTCCCCTTTCCTTGTAGAGTGGCTTATTCTTCTTGCTCCTGGACAAACTTGATTCCAACTCAGTAGGAAGTGAAAGAAAATAATGTTCAGAAGTTTTTGGTTTCCTGACCTGTTTTTTTGTTTGGTTGGGGTTTTTTTGTGTTTGTTTGGGTTTTGTTTGTTTTTGTTTGAGGTTTTGTTTGTTTGTTTGTTTTTCATGATATGATGCTCAGAAATAGAATTGTTTTGTTTTAACTGAAGATTTGAGTGTGGGAAATGAAATCAAGTGTTTTAGGAACAGTTTGGAGTTGGGGTTAGAGGGAGCAACTTGTGGATCTGGAAAGTGGAATGATGAAGCTGGTGAACAAGAGTCATGCTGTTTTTCTTAGAGACTTACTGATGTAACTTCACCTTTGGGGAATGTTTATTTTGGTTTGTATGCAAAGAGAGATTTTTAGTGGACCCTAAAATTCTAGAAGAAAGTAATAACAAGTTTAGCACCCTTTTAACAGAACAGTCAGGTACACAAGAAAGTGAACAAAGTGCACAGAGACGTGGTAGAGGAGAGAAAGGTTGGGAAAAAAGAGCCATAAAAGCTATAAAAGCAGTGGATGGCAGAGGCAAAAAAAAAAATCAACAGCCTATGACAGTCACCTGAAAAGAATAGTGGGTTTTTTTTCTTACTGCATTAAGGGTGCATGTTTAGTCTTAACTCCTACTTTCACGCCATTTTTGCAGCTAGATGAGAATCAAAATGTGAACAGGTAAAGGTGGCTGCAAGAGAAACTAATCTTCATTATGATTTAGAGCAACACTACTTCTTTAGTTATTTTTGGATCCTGGCAGTGGCCTTCCTGGGATGCCATTCCACCAATGCAGCATTACCAAAACACAGGTTTTGATTATCCCATCAAAATATCCACTTTACTCTGCCAGGTTTAGTAGGGACACTCTGAGAACTTAATGTCTCAAGCACTTTATTCCTTATGAGATAAATTAATCTTCAACAATTTACTAAGGCAGATAAAAATTAGGAACTTTGATCCTTATCTGTTCTATTACAGTCTTTTCCTTTCTTTATGTCATATTGTCTTCAAGAGCATAGTTAGTTCCAATATATTCTGAGGTCTGTGATCTGAACATGGGGATGATTAAAGAGTACTGCAGAAACTTGGTTGTATGGAATTTAGGATTTAGACATGGATACTGAAAGAGCAACCCCAATTTTGTTCTCATTTATTGAAGATGAATTTTTTGTATAGAGAGTCAGCCATAGGTATTTATACAGGGAATTAAAGCCTTGTCTTTCTGCCAGGATATTCTACTATGTGAACCCCTTTGCAAATAATTGCAAAGTCTGAATTTTCAAAATTCAAAGCAGGGGGAGTATTTAAATACAAAAAATAAGGGTACATTCTTCTCTTTGTGTTCTGGTGTGCACGCTTATGTACCTTACAGAGAAGTGCAGTACTTCAGAGCTTTGGAACTCACAAAGCAAGAAAACAATTCCAAGATGTGGTCTGGCATGATGCAAACTATCTCTAAAAAATAGTTTTCGAAATATGCTGGAAGTATTACTTAGTGCTTGTTACTTCTGCTGGGCAAAGGACATGAATCTGTATGTAGTTTGAAAGCACTTCTGGGATATTTACTGAATCCCCTTGATTACCAGATAGGAACAACCAAATTTTATTGTATCTGCAAACCCAGTTATTATTGAAGATAATGTTTCCAAGGTGAATGGAACACAGTTAAATACACTGTCTGCCCACATAGTGTGGGCAGCACAAGGTATGAATGGAATGAAAGGCTCAAGGGCAGTTGATTGGACATTAGGAAAAGGTTCTTTACTGAGAGGGTGGTTGGTCACTGGAACAGGCTCCCCAGGGAAGTAGTCACAACACCTGGTCTATCAGAGTTCAAGGAGTGTTTGGACAATGCCCTGAGCCATATGGTTGGGTTTTAGGTAGTCCTGTGAGGAGAAGGGATTTGGACTTGATAATCCCTGTATCTTCCAACTGAAGAAATTCTTTGATTCTAGGACTGTTTCTTGCTTTTACCCTCAAATCCGTGTTCCCTTGTGCAACACAATGCAAACAAGATAGTGGTTATCCTCCATCAAGAGATCCATCAAGAGATCATTCTACTTCTACTTACATGTGCATATCAATGAAACACCTGCCAAGAGAAAGAATGGAGCAGAGCAAATACAAATTATTATTTAATATTAGTAAGCTTACCTACTAGGTGTAGAATGTTTCATTGAAAAAGTGTTACATATGTTCTGTGCACAAACATGCGTTCCCGTGCTTGGGAAGGTACAGGGAGAGGAGGCTTAGGAGCTATTTCCTGCCACAGGACCTTTTAGCCGTGGGTGCCCTCTTCCCACAAAACATACTTTGTCATTAATGACAGCCATGATAGCTGATCTTAATATGCCTTTGGGCTGCAATTCTGTCCCTCAGCTCCGTGGTGTGGGCTGGGGGGAGAGGTTTCCTGTTGTTCTGCTTGCTGGAGGATAGACATACATTTGGTTTGAAGTTAGCTTTATCTCTGTATGTATAATGGATATATCAATACAAATATCTGGTTTTGTCATGATGAACTATAGTGTGAAGTGTAGGAAAGAATGTGCTGATAATATAGGTTATTGTCATAGGTTGGATTGTCTTTCCTTCTCATTCTTTGTGTTTTACCAGCTAGACTCTGCTCCTACATTAGAAATTGTTATCTTGTGTTTGGTAAATACCTTTAAACAATGCTCTGTTTTACCATGTTATCTATAGGATAACGTGAGAGGGTGGCTTGCAGTGCTGCCTGTTGCCCTTTCTGGGTTCCCCATGTTTTTCTGTAATTGTTTCAAGGGAATTTTTCTCCTTTTGATCAGCTAAATGCTCATCTCAAATAATTGTACAACCACCATCTACCTGGCAACAAACTTTGAAATGCGGATGTATTAGAAAAAGCCTACAAATTATTTGTTCCTTGCTTGGATTTACACAAATCCAAACGAGACTCTAATTTTATATTGAATATTAACCTTAAAGAGTAAGCGCCACTGCTGTGGCGCTTTCACCTCTGACCAGCTGGGGATCAGCCTGCTCGGGTTGGGCAGTGCCAGCAAAGGGCTAATTAAAGACCCACTGCCCTGCGCGGGGATGCCCAGGGTCACCCATCATTAACAGCAGTAGGGAAAAACAAATCGACCCCCAAAATCAGCACCCCGACCCGGCAGACAAGCGGAGGGCGGGCCCGCCCCCGCAGAGGGCAGCATTGAGCAGGGGATGTGCCCGCACGGCTCCCGCACTTGTCCCCGGCGCCGCGGGGAGAGCCCAGACCCGGCACGGCCGCTCCCGCTGCGCGTTCGGTTCAGTTCAGCACAGAACGGCCGGGGACACGGGGGAACCGCCGCACGGCCCGGGGGAGCTGTGCGGGGGCCCGGCCTCGCCCGCCGCGGAGGCAGCGCCGGGCTGAGACCCCGCTCCCGCCAGGGCCCTGCCGGGGACCGGCCGCGGCTGAGCCGGGAGCGGCTCCCGGGGAGCGGAACGAGCCGGGGCCACGCGGGGCGGGCACGGCCCCGCTCCCCCCGCAGCGGCTCCGCGCCCGGAGCTGCCCCGCCGGGGCTGCGGGCGGGCAGGAACCGCTCTCCGCCCGGCCGGCCGAGCCCGGGAGCCGCCACACTGCAGAGGCCGCCGGCGGCGGGTATAAATAACACGGCGCTGAATGGCGTCTACGCCTCCTTTACTACGCGCCGCGCCCCAGCCCGGCCGGGCGCCGCCGCCGCCGTGACGGACGGGCCGCGGCACCAATGGGGGCGCGCTGGCGGCGGCCCCGCGGCCGCGCTGAATGAGGGCAGGGCGGAGGGCGGGGCGGCGGCGCTGGCCGGGAGCCCGGCGGCGGCTCCGGGGATGGTCCACGCACTGGCGCCGTCACGTGTTGTTCTCCTTGGAGTGAGCCTGAGCCGCGGCGGCGGGCGGAGGGGGCTGGACTGGCGAGCGCGGCCCCCGCCGCCTGTTTTGGTGCGGGGCGCCGGGAAACTCCGAGGAGAAGCCGGCGGAGAAGGAGCTGCCGCGGCGGTGCCCGCTCGCCCGCCGGGCTGGGGCACGGGAGGGGGCCGCGCCGCCGGCCGCTGAGGCGCTGCCGCCTGGAATGAAGAGGAGGAGGAAGAGAGGATGTTCCTTCGGCACTCGGGCTGCCTCCCCTCCCGCCGCTGCCGGGCTGCGCCGCGTGTGGAAATGGCACTTTCTCTGCCTAACGAGATGGGACTGAATGGGGTCGCCAGCCTCCTCCGCACGCACGAGCGGGAGCAGCAGCCTCGGCGCTGATATTTGGGGAAGGGAGGTTGTGTTGTGGGCGCCTTTTTTTTTTTTTAATTTTTATTTGTTTGTTTTCTCTTTTTTGGGGGAGGGCGAGAGGGGGGAAAGCAGCGTGTATTTTTTGGGTGCAAACCCCGGACTTTGCAAAACAATCTCCGCCCCCGAGAGGATATTTAATCTGCAACAGAGATCGCTGCTCGCGGAGGCAAACTTGAGCCGGGGAAGGGGAGCAGGGAGCGGAGGAAGGGGACCCCCGCCCCGCTCCCGGCCCCGCCGGAGCCCGACCCCTGCAAAGGAAGATGCGTCTCTCCCGGCAGCTGCTCTTGGGACAAGACTTTCGTCTGGACTGATCGAGACTGGACTTTTTAAGGACGAGCTTACCCATCTAAGGGCGATTTGGGCATAAACAGCAACACAAACTCTGATTTGGTGCTGGAAGCTGCCTCGGCCACTGAACAGCTGCTCTCACCCTGCTTCTGTCCCTCCCCCGTCCTGTTCTCAAAAGAGGATCCTGAGCTATTTTGCCGGTTTTTTTTTTTTTAATTGTTGTTGCATGAATTTTATTTTAGGTGGTTGCCTTTTACGGCTGGCTTGGCTGTTTTGGGGTCTTGCAGACTGCGAGCTGCAGTAGCAGCTCCACCGCCTCTCGTCATGGCTAGCCCCACGGATAATAACGAGGGCTTCTTCTCGGATGTCAGAAAGGTGGGTTACTTGCGCAAACCCAAGAGCATGCATAAACGATTTTTCGTGCTGAGGGCAGCCAGTGAGTCTGGACCCGCCCGGCTGGAGTATTACGAGAATGAGAAGAAATGGAGACACAAGTCAGGGGCCCCCAAGCGCTCTATCCCACTAGAAAGCTGCTTCAACATCAACAAACGGGCTGACTCCAAGAACAAGCACCTGGTGGCCCTCTACACCAAGGACGAGCACTTTGCCATTGCAGCTGACAGCGAGCCTGAACAGGAGAGCTGGTACCAAGCGCTGCTGCAGTTGCACAACAGGGCCAAGGGCCACCACCACCTCCATCACCATCACCACCACCACCACAGCGATGTCACCTTTGGAGGCAGCAGCATGGGACTGGGGGAAGCAGGTGAGGACAGCTATGGTGAGGTAGCCCCTGGCCCAGCTTTTAAGGAAGTTTGGCAAGTAATTCTGAAGCCTAAGGGCCTAGGCCAGACAAAGAACCTGATTGGCATCTACCGCCTGTGCCTGACTAACAAGACCATCAGCTTTGTGAAGCTGAATTCAGATGCGGCTGCTGTGGTGCTGCAGCTGCTCAATATCCGCCGCTGTGGTCACTCGGAGAACTTCTTCTTCATTGAGGTGGGACGCTCAGCTGTCACTGGGCCCGGTGAGTTCTGGATGCAAGTGGATGACTCAGTGGTGGCTCAGAACATGCATGAAACTATCCTGGAGGCCATGCGAGCCATGAGCGAGGAATTCCGGCCCCGCAGCAAGAGCCAGTCCTCCTCAAACTGTTCCAACCCCATCTCTGTGCCCCTTCGCAGCAGGCACCACGTCAACAACCCTCCACCTAGCCAAGTGGGCCTCAGTCGGCGGTCCAGAACCGAGAGTGTCACGGCCACTTCTCCTGCTGGTGGTGGAGGTACAGGTGGCAAACCCAGCTCTTTCCGGGTTCGAGCATCAAGTGATGGGGAAGGCACAATGTCAAGACCTGCCTCTGTGGATGGTAGCCCAGTTAGTCCCAGTGCTAACCGGACTCATTCGCATAGACACCGTGGCAACTCCAGGCTCCATCCTCCACTCAACCACAGCCGGTCCATCCCAATGCCTTCCTCGCGCTGCTCTCCTTCAGCCACCAGTCCAGTCAGCCTGTCATCCAGCAGCACGAGTGGCCACGGCTCCACCTCAGACTGCCTGTTTCCACGAAGGTCCAGTGCTTCGGTTTCCGGCTCCCCTAGCGACGGTGGATTTATTTCTTCTGATGAGTACGGTTCCAGCCCATGTGACTTTCGCAGCTCTTTCCGCAGTGTGACCCCTGATTCATTGGGACACACCCCACCAGCCCGGGGTGATGAAGACCTCAACTACATCTGTATGGGGGGGAAGGCCACCTCCTCTTGCTGCAGCTTGGCAGCCCCCAATGGCCACTTCATCCCACGCACCTGCCACCCACAGCAGCAGCCCCGCTATCCTAGTACGCCCTGCTGTCCTCGAGGTGGTAGTGAGGAGGTTGCCGACTTAGAGAAGGCATTCAGGAAGCGGACTCACTCTGCAGGCACTTCACCCACCATCTCCCACCAGAAGACACCCTCACAGTCTTCAGTGGCCTCCATTGAGGAGTACACGGAGATGCTGCCTTCTTACCCCTGTGGCAGCAGCCGGCTGCCCTCCTACCGCCACTCAGCCTTTGTGCCCACTCACTCTTACCCAGAGGAGTGCCTGGAGATGCACCACCTGGACAGTGGCCATCATCGGACCAACTCCGCCCCGCACACGGATGATGGCTACATGCCCATGTCACCTGGTGTAGCCCCTGTGCCCAGTGGTGGGGCGCCCCTAAAGGGTGGTGACTATATGCCCATGAGTCCTAAGAGCGTGTCGGCTCCACAGCAGATCATCAACCCTGGCAGGGGGGGCCGCCACCCTCCAGCCACAGTGGACTCCAACGGCTACATGATGATGTCCCCCAGCGGCAGCTACTCCCCCGACAACAGCTCTGCAGGCTATGGCAAGATCTGGACAAACGGTGCCGGCCACCACCCAAAACTCTCGGTGGAGAGCAACGAAGGGAAGCTCCCCTGCGGCGGCAGCGACTACATCAACATGTCCCCAGCCAGCGGCTCCACCACCAGCACCCCGCCTGACTGTTACTTCGGGGCTGCGGGGCAGCCGGGGGTGGAGGAGGTGGCCACGGCAGCGCACCACAAACCCATCTACTCCTACTTCTCGCTGCCGCGCTCCTTCAAGCACGTGCACCGGCGGGGCGGCGGCAGGCTGGCCGAGGAGGGCAGCCCCCAGCCCCGCATCGCGCTCGGCTCCAGCCGCCTCCTCTACGCCGCCGAGGATTCGTCCTCGTCCACCAGCAGCGACAGCCTGGGCGGCGGCGGCGGCCCCGAGGGCGGCCCCCCTCCGCAAGCGCAGCCCCTGCGCAAGGTGGACACGGCCGTGCAGACCAAGGGCCGCCTGGCGCGGCCCACGCGGCTGTCGCTGGGCGGCCCCAAGGCCAGCACCCTGCCCCGGGCCCGCGAGCAGCCCCCGCTGCTGCTGCCCCCGGAGCCCAAGAGCCCCGGCGAGTATGTCAACATCGAGTTCATCGCCGGCGAGAAGCCGCCCTTTCCCTCGGGCGCCCTGGGCATGGCCCTGCCGCCGCCGGGCAGCGAGGCGGCCGAGGAGTACATGAACATGGAGCCGGGCCCGCCGCGGGCCCCCTGCCCGCCCGGCTTCGCCGCCGCGCGGGCGGCCCGGCCCGGCCGGGACTACGTGGCGATGCAGCGCGGGGGCGCGGCAGCCGCCGGGGGCTCCTGCTCGGACTGCGCCGACAGCCCGTCCCCCGGCTCGCCCGCCCGCCCGCTCAGCTACGCCGAGGTGCGGGGGGGCCGCGCCGCCCCCGAGAAGCCCCCGCCGGCGGCCGCAACCGCGGCGTCCCCGGAGCTGCCGCGGCCGCCGGCCGAGCTGTCGGCGGCGCCGCCGCGCTCCTCCTCCCTGCTGGGGGGCCTGGGCACGGGCAGCGCCTTCACCCGCGTCAGCCTCAGCCCCGGCCGCAACCAAAGCGCCAAGGTGATCCGCGCCGACCCGCAGGGCGGCCGGCGGCGGCACAGCTCCGAGACTTTCTCGTCCACGCCGAGCGCCGCCCGCGGGGCGCCGGGCGGGCTCGGGGCGCCCTTCCCGTGCGGCGGCGCGGGGGGCGCCGAGGAGGTGAAGCGGCACAGCTCGGCCTCCTTCGAGAACGTGTGGCTGCGGCCCGGCGCGGGGGAGGCGGCCGCCCGCAGGGAGCCGGGAGGCGCGCCCGCCCTGGAGAACGGGCTCAACTACATCGACTTGGACTTGGTGAGGGACTGCGGCCACCGTCGCCACCACCACCCGCACGCCCCCGCCGAGGCGAAGCAGCCGCTGCCGCCGAAGCCCCCGGGGCAGCCGCGCGGGAGCGGCCACTGCGGCGAGGACCTGAGCGCGTACGCCAGCATCAGCTTCCAGAAGCGGGAGGAGATGTAGGAGCCGGGCGCCCGCCGGGGAAGGTGAGCCGGGACGAACCGTGGCTCCGTTCAGGGAGTTGAACAGCCCCGGGGAGGCTGCGGGGGTGCCACGCGTTGGGTTGGTTTCCTTGTGCCTTTTGGCCTCAGTGCAGCGTGTTTTAGTGTCAAAAGCAACCAGAAGCCCGGCATCTCTGCGGGTGTCCAGCTGCTGGCCCGCACCTGCGTGGGCCTGGCCGTGCTTCGAAAGCACGCTTGGATGCTCCTGTTCAGCTGGGGATACAATGCTGTGCGTACCGTATTGCCACGTTTCTTTACTTTTCAGAATTAGGTGTGCTTCAAAAGTGTGTGGGTGTAAAAGCAAGTTACCTTTGGCTTTGGTCTGGAAACGGGAAACTCCCGTTGTAATCCTAGTTTGGCCAGTAATCACACTCGTGGCCAAGGGTAAAGCAGCGAACCGTGCCAGCACGTGTTCTCCCGTGTGCAGAACACGGCTAACAGCATCCACCTCGCGGGGCTGTGACCAGTGTTAATTCAGTTTTGTTGGAAGGTGCTTTGAATTTGAAAACAGCCTTCAAAGTCTTTAGAGCATTGTATCTGTCACTTGTGTTTCAGTTGATACTAAGTGCGGCTGTCCCACACCCACCACAGCATAAGAAACACCACAAACAGCATAAGAAATGGGCCTTAAGAACTGTCCTTGGCATTGACTGATGCGTTCTGTTTCTTCCTGAAGCTTTTAATTTTTAATTCGGGAAAAACTGCCAGGCTGTTGCACGTTGATTACAGATGTGTAAGATGAGTAGGAGCATTGTTGCAAGCAGTGTGATGTTTCTTTTGGGTGGGAGCTTCATGCAGCACATCACAAATGTATCTTGTTTCGAGCTCACAAAGTGCACCTGTGTGAGCCCTTTTGTGAAAGGTGAAGAGTGTTTTCACCTTCAGCAGCAGACCAGCATTAGCAGATAGTTATCTAGTTAATCTTGTCACTCGATTTTAGTGAGCGATTTAGGTTTACTACATAGTTGAGCAGCAGCAATCACGGTAGCTTAAGTAGTTACTATGAATATGTGCAATGACACTGGGAGATGAATCTCTTACCACTGTTTACATCGTAAGTTTAATAACCTTACTATTTGTATTGCTTGTTCACTCTGCTCGAGGGAACACTGAGGGCTGGTGTTGGTACCACACCTGTGATCATATGTTCACCATTTTTAAACGTTATCCAACCTTATAACCTGAACAAAAGCAAAACAGTCTCTTCACATTTGCTACTTAGCGCTTGCTGCTGCTGCCCTTTAGAGCAGTGCAATATTAGGTGTTAGTCTTAGGTGACCTGGGATTACCAGGTCGGTTTCAAAGTTCAAGGTAAGGTTTAAGATCAGTGCAAATATTGATGGTCTGGTTGAAATGGCAACTCGTAGGAAATGATTATTTTTGTGGCTACCTGACAGGAGTGTGCTGACTGTCACCATACAGGGTTTGTGACCAAATGTACACAAACTTACACAGCCACACCGTCTCTCTGTTCTGGGATGTGCTTGCAAGAACCCATCTAGACTGTTTTTGAGCTGCCTCTTGTTACCCTGGGAATCCATATCTGCTTAGGAGAGCGTTGGTGTTATGAACTCTTCAGGAGAGAATTTGCCAGAGGATGCAGCAAGTTGTACAGCAAGTCACTTTGCTGGGAGCATCGCTGTTCCCCCCTACCTGTGCTGTGCTGAGATTGAGGGGCAAGTCTGTGTGCAGGTCTGGGAGGGAGCAGTGTCATAACTGTTGGCTTACACAGGTTTTTTTTCCAATTGCACTGCTTTCCTTTTGCTATAGACAACTTATTTAATTGAACTATGCATCATCTTTAACATAAAAGCTGTGGCAGTGCTCTCCATGGTGGTGGTAGGTAGGTGCCTACTGTGATTATGCTGTTCAGTGAAAGATTAGGATGTGGAAAACCTAATATAAGAACTGGCTGAAAAATACCATGCAGATGTTTTTCAGGGCAGCATTGTAAAAAGTAGTGTGTAATAGAGTAATTGCTGTTTGAAGTTGGTTCTTATTTCCCAAAATTAGGATTGGACTGAGCAAGCACAGCAGCTTCTGGGAGGCAGGGGAAGAATCAGGTTGTAATTATATGGGGAGTTTGTAGCCATGGCTGTTCCCTTTCCCTTCCCACTATAAAGCTGTGTTAGTTGCTTGTTACTTTCTCAGACATTAACCCTTTAGACTCTTATTTCCCAGATTTCTTGCCATGAACTGAAACTTCCCTTGCAACATTCAGCCCGACTAGCCCATCTGTTGAGCATGTTAAGGAAAGAAACCCAATGATGTTTTGTCTGTGTTAAACAAACAGCTATTTTTACAGCTGTTTTTTGACATGTCCTTGTACTTTTTTGCTTTGGAGGTGAAACTTAGTTTTGCCAGGGGAGTCGGCCCATGTAGGTTATACCTTATGCCGTTCTTGAGAAAATCTGCCTGGAGGTGAGCGATTTACAGGACTGCAAGCAGTCTGTTTGCACATGCCTGAAAAAGTTGTTGAGCACCTTCAGCCAAACAATTCCCCTGAAGACTCCAGGTGCAGTAGGGGTGCTCTAGTTCCCCAGAGCTTTGCCTGCTTGCCCCCAGCAAGCAGCCAGGCTGTCCAGCCTGAGTCAGCTTCCCCTGTGCTCCTCCTGGCAGGTGAGGCTGTTTGGCTGAGGGTGGGGAGGTTGTGGCTGTTGCTTCTCCTATTGGTCTTTGAGCAACGTGGAAGAGGAAGGAAAAGCTACTTGGTATGTTTGCAGGTACAGCTGAGAGGTGAAAACATCTGGAGCTGGGAAGGGAAGGTGAAGCTACAGGGATGAGAACAAGGGATGAGGAAGCCTGCACTAAGTACTCTTTCTTTACTCTCCATCTCTTTCATGGTTTTTTTCTTTACACTTTTAATCGCAGAATTGGCAAAGGGACTACACATGCACTTTTTTTTTCTCCTCTCTGTAGAGCAGTTTTCCACCCTCTCCATAGGGCAGCCTTCCACCCCACCCCAAAGGCCAAAGCTATCTGGATAACTCTTGTTTTATCCATTGTGGAATTTTCTGTTTTTGCAGTCTACAAGACAAGGACCTCAAATGTTGGCCATTCATCTAATGGGTAAAATGATTGTTGCTGCTTTACTGCAAGCTAGCTAACTCCTTTCCTATTCCCTGCTCTCCTGTCCTTCCCTGCCAGCTGCCTCAAAGTTCTTCAGGCATTAGATTATGAAGTATTTTTAACTTCTTTCAAGTGTAGTTATTCCTCTTAACATTAAGGATACTGGCTGAAATAATCACGTTGTTTCCCAAATTTAATTGAAAACCATTTCTCTTGCACCCACAGCATTCCTCTGCACTCTCCAATCCCATTGCCTTCCCTGTCATAAATTCTTGGCTGTTTCCAAACAGCTGGCCCTGCCCTGGCTCTCTTCTCTCCTCCTTTTAAAAGTGCAGCAGTTTCAATGCAGTTCTGAATGCTCTCCTGCCCAAACATTTACCTCTCCTTCAGACAACTGGCTACTGTTATGTGTGTCTCGCCTAGCTGGTGACTCTTTGGTGCTTGGATACTCTGATGAGTGGACTTTTGTGCTGTAGCTGGAAGGCCACATTGCTGCAGTCGCCAGGTCGTGCTCGGAAACAGCAGCCTGTGACATGGAGAAAGTGAGGGGAGAGAGCAGTGTAGCCCTAAGACGTTTTCCTCCTGCTTAGAGTTTTGTATGCATGGATGTGGTGGGCTGCCCCTGGCTGGACACCAGGTGCCCACCAAAGCCACTCTGTCACTCTGCTCCTCAGCTGGGCAGGGGAGAGAAAATACAACAAAAAGCTCACGAGTCTCATGACATAAGGGCAAGGAGAGATCACTTACCACTTACTGTCACGGGCAAAATAGACTGGACTTGGGGAAATTTGTTTTATTACCAATCAGATCAGAGTAGGATAATAGGAAATAAAAACTAAATCTTCAGACGCCTACCCCCCACCCTTCCCTTTTTCCTGGGCATAACTTTACTCCCCATTTCTCTACCTCCTCCCCCCAGCAGCACAGGGGTATGTGAATGGGGGTTTTGGTCAGTTCATCACACTCCTCAGGGGGAGGATTCCTCACACTCTTTCCCTGCTCCAGTGTGGGGTCCCTCCCATGGGACACAGTCCTCCAAAAAACTTTTCCGATGTGAGTCCTTCCTGTGGGCTGCAGTTCTTCACAAACTGCTCCCGTGTGGGTCTCCCATGGGGTCACAAGTCTTGCCAGGAAATCTGCTCCAGCATGGTCTCCTGTCTCCACAGGGTCTCAGGTCCTGCCAGGAGCCTGCTCCAATGTGCTTTTCCCACAGGGTTGCAGACTTCTTAGGGCATCTTCCTGTTCTGGTGTGGAGTCCTCCACAGGCTGCAGGTGGATATCTGCTCTGCCATGGACCTCCATAGGTCCTCCATGTGCCTGGAGCACGTCCCCCTGCTTCTGCACTGACCTTGGGGTCTGCAGTGTGGTTTGACATATCCAGGTGGTCTCACATATCCTCACTCCTCTCTCTCTCTCTGCAGTTGTACAGTCCTTCTTTCCCTGTCCTAAATACGTTATCCCAGAGGTGCTGCCACTGTCAGTGATGGGCTTGGCCTTGTCCAGCAACAGGTCCCTCTTGGAGCTGTCTGGCATTGGCTCTGTCAGACATGGGGGAAGCTTCCAGCAGCTTCTCAGAGAAGCCACCCCTGTAGCCCCCACTACCAAAACCCTGGCGCAGAAACGCAATACTACAGGTGAGCAGATGTTGTGGATCTACTGTGGATCCTGCTTTTGGGATTGCTGTGAGAAGGCTCCTCAGATGAGCAGAGGCTTTGAAGATGAACTGCTGATAGCTCGTGTTCTGAACATATAGTCAAAAGATATTCCAAAAAGGAAACTATGAGATGTTGGCTCTGGAGAAGCAGGAAAGGCTGTAGTAGGATAGTACCATGAATCCAGGTATGTGGCTTTGATCTCCAAAGCTTCAAAGCCTCATTTCCATTTTGTTGATGAGTTTGAGAACTCCTGAAAGTTGA